AGTGACCTCATGTTTTTTTTCCCTCGAAATTCTCGAGTCTCCTTGTCGTTGACCTGACAAAACCAACATGTAAACAACATGTTTTGCAGACGAAATGCTATCCATACGGCACTGGGTTCCCGATCGTGGCACAATTCAATCGTTATGTTTACATTTGCAAAGAGTGGATCTTCTTTATGGAACAAAGTCCCGTGCAAGTCTATGACGATCGAGTTTAACTACAGTAAGGCAGCCAATGTTTGGAGCACAACAAAGTCAGAAGGATTAGTTTAGACTAAGTTTTATGGAACAGTTCACATTAAATGACGATCTTGTCAAATTATGGTATATTATGTAAAGTATTATGTAATTTAAATAAAGTCTCTCATACATTTTAATACTGTCTTGTATGTTTGTTTTTGTGAGAGTGAATCCTGAAAAATATGCAAATTAGTATGCAAATTAGCATGCAAATTAGACCGCCATCCTTGCCTCTGAGCCTGGGGAGAACACTGCAAGCGTTATACCGGGCGGCTGCGTAGTGCAGCCTGGGGAACGACCATTTGAACTGAGGTCATCATTCCGATGATCGGCATTAGTTCTTGGAGGGACACTGAGGGAATGCTGACTAGGCATTCGGATAGACTAGGTGGCACCCAAAATTCAAATACTTGGCCCAGCTGGGCAATTCGAAGGATATGGCAACTCGCCGGGTGCATCAGTATGTGCAGGTAGGCCACGCTCAAGTCTAGTGGGGCTAGCCAGTCGAAACAGTGGATGGAGAGAAGAACCCTGAATGGTGTCTCCATGTGGAACAAATCGAGGAGCACGTACTGATTCAGTCTGCCTAGGTCCAGAACTGGACGTCCGCCACTTGTAGATTTGGGTAGAAGCCTGGACTTAGTTTCAGCTGATGTACCCTGTGTATGACGCCTTCTCCCAGCAAACTGCTACTTCCTGTCTGATTGAGTCCCCTAGCAGTGCCCACTGACAGGGGGAAATGGAGATTTCAGCGGTATCCCGTAACAGGATGTCACCACCTGGAAAAGTCCAGGGATCGGTCACCCGCTGTCTCCAAACCGGACTACACCGGCGCAATCTGTGTACGACAGGAATATGTGGCCATGGGTTCGGCAGTTGCGAGGGGGGGGGGTGCTCCTTTCCCCCATGAGGTGAGTTCCCCAAGGCATGAAGTAGACACTAAGTTGTGACCTGGCCACTCCCCGAACACATGCCTGTCCCTCCGGTTGCAGAGGTGAGCTTTCCCCGCTGCTGGGTAGACGTCCGCCCAGGGAGGGTGAGGAGCCACCACCTGGCTCTTTCCTCCCTGGGGGTGAGCCACTACTCTTCCCTCCCATGGAAGGGTAAGATAGCTTGCCTCCTGGCTGACTCTGGCTAGCGGACGATGCCCTAGGACGATGTGTTTTCTGTGCTTGGGGTGCCCTCCGCTTGCCCTTGGCAGGGCCAACTGGCTAGCGGATTCGATCTGAACCCTCTGGTTCATTGCACTCCAAAGCTCCGAGACTGTACCCACCATTCCCTGAACAAAGAGTGTGGAGGATGTCCAGTCTGCGTCACTGAGATGGGGACGTACCCCGACTCAGCTTGTCGGACGAAAAACATGTGCGTCTAAGGCCGCGTCTCGTAGCACAGTAGTGGCCCCGGCCAAGTGAGCCAGGTGACACGTAGATGTGCGGTGGCTCACCAGTAAAAAAGTCGCCTGGTCTAGGAGGCTGGTGCGTTCTGCCTCCGAGGTTTCCAGAGTCTTGGGCGCGCACAATAATGCGCTCAAGCAACTCGGTCCTCAGGGCTGGATGGGTCGTCTTCGATTGCCAAAAACGCCACGGAACGTGGCTGTCCCCCTTTGTCCGGTTTGCCAAATTCGTGGTACCGTGGTCTGGGGAAGGAATCTTGGGATCCGGTTGGGGGCGTTTTGGTCTCATCCCACGCTATGGGGTCTGATCCTCAAACCACACCGACCGTGTAGCGTTTGGTCCAGCGGGAAGTGTTGCCTAATGTTATCCCCACCCGGGGGCCTTAAGCATTACATCCTCCGTGGCTGACCAACACCGCCCATCAACACCAATTGCGTGCTCTGCGCCCCACTCCGCACTCAAACAGACAGAGAGAGACGTGCCGACAGGGTTGCTTTGGATCCCGACGCCCATGATTCCATAAGCGTTGAAGCAACCTTAGGTGGTCGCCTTAGGATCAAGGGTGAGGGTATTTACATCGTATCACTGGGATCGATGATACTCCGCATCACCCCAAAATGCGTGGCTCACCGAGTCATACGGATGGAAGACTCTGAGGGACCGCCCGGAGTACCGGCTGTATCCGACACAAGTGAACTGAGTTTCCTTTAACTTTAAATATGTGAGAGGGAGCGTGTTCAACTGTGCGTCTCATGACAGGGTCAGTTCCCTCTGGGGACGCCCGTGGGTCGGTAAGAAACCCATAGCGGAGACCGGCCACAAGAATAAATTCGTTACCGTTGACGAACCCTAGCTGGCTGAAAGTAGGGGGGGTCAACGTCTGCCCTGCCCTGAAAGCCCTGCCCTGAGATCGGAGGCTTGGCTGCCAGCACCCTGTTGGCATTCAGTGCCCAAGGCTCCAGAGGAGGAGAGCCGCGGCTGGGGATTCCCTGGAAGAGACGTGTTTGAATGCAAACATGCTTTCGTGTTTCTTCCTGCTTGCCCACCGAGAGGCCGCAGTGGAGACAGCTCGTTTCGACTGCGTCTGATCTACCCGGCCTGCCAGGGACACAATTGCCCCGACAGTCCCACGACCAAAGCCCTCAACTCTGAGGCAAACCCGGCGCCGTGCGAGGAAGGGTCCACAAAGGGACCCGCAACGGGACCCACGGGAGGAAAGCCTCCAGGGGCACAGCCTCGCTGCAGCCGGTAAAATCGGTTAAACCACCGCCTGAAAAAACAGACTGTGAAGATGCCCTCTGATCAGCGGGGGGAAGCCGAGAAAATATCAGTACCTCCATCAACGGGCCTCCTACTCGACGTCCCGGTACAACCGGTAGCCGAGTGTGAGGACTTTCCACTCATGCCAAACACGCAACTCACTTTAACCGATTTGTTTACTGGACGCGCGACCTTGCTGTGGCGCGGTCAGTCTCAGCGATTTTGATGGGTCTGAAAGAAAATCTCAGGCCTTAGAACTCCAGTGAAAAACACACACCTTCACGCAAAAACCCCGAACCCCGGTAAAATGACAAGGAAAACTTATCCTACCAGCTACAATGTCGGATGCCATGCAGCGGCAACAACCCGAGCTAGAAACCCGGACAGGAAAAAAAGCAGACGATCCAGCAGAGCCGCTAAAACTTCATCCCTGGTGATGCGGAGAAAAAGAAAGAGTGATTGTACAGTCGTCTATGGCGCTGCCATATGGCCTCGGTCACGTGGTTAGTGACACAAGGGAAAGAGAATTTTGGGGTCATGGGGCTTCCCCTGACCTAGATTCTATGCCTACAGTTCAAAATAGTCATTTTGACTGACCGGAGTCTATGGTAGGTAATTGAACGTAGTGAATCGGTTGGCTTTCCAATCTCGCTGGCGCCGGCTTGTGATCGCGTCCACTCTTGGCGAGTCTATATTGCATTAGGGGACATAAAATGTTTTTACGCAGCCTGGTACATGTCTGGATTCTCCTGAATGATTTGAACCCGAAACTGGCCACAATCAGCTGGCATACAAGTGATGATATGATAAATACGATTAATCCACCAATATTTATTATATGAGAGTAACCATCTTGAACACTGCTTGAAACTGAATAGACAAGTCGAGAAACAGTTTCCTACAAATCAGGGAGAAAATAAACTTTCACACTCAAACGACCCGTTGGGGTAACATTAAGCCAACCGCTGGAAAAAGCTACCTCATTCGTCGTTTTTGTGGGGACACGAAGGGCATAGAACACTTTCCCTGGTATATTTGAAAGCGAAATCTCCATCCAACTGTGAGACAGTCACTGACTAGATCCTAAAGTATGAGGATCGTCCCCTACTGTTACATAGATTCGCCTTAAGTGGGTGTGACCGCAAGACGGCGCCAGCAAGATTCGAAAGCCAACAGTTAAGTCAAAACCAAAGCAGTTAGCCAATTCGCTAGCGAGTTTGCAAATTGGCTGCCCCAATACTTCTGAGACTTGCTGTAACCAAAGCATTCTTTGGTAATCAAAGTCAATTTTAGTCATCTTTTACAAAATAAACCTGTATAAATGTCTGCATATTATTTTATCTCCAAAAAATCCAGACCTGTTGCTGATTTGAAAGAATTAAGTATAAAATAAAATACCTTTACTGCAAGTGCATTGACTTTTTCAGCAATGCTAATAGTTTGTGGATCATCATCTTCAATACCTTGCCAAATCCTGACATCACCATCAGTACCACAAGTTAATATATACTGACCAGTCTCATTGTAAGACACATCAGTGTGACCTTCACTGTGACCATATCGCATAGGTTTTTTCTCCATACTGGATATTCTGAAATCATATAAATATGGATGTGTTTGCTCTATTACATGTACCAGGTAGTAGTGCATTTATTTAAGTGATCTAGCATACAGTAAATGTAATTTTTGGTTCATGCACACTTCTATTTAATTACAGATGTATTACTAATATACCATCTATGGTATTGCAATAATTAATAACAAATCAAATAAGAGATCTCTTGATTAGCAGAGCATTGAAACGATCAATTTATTGTTCCCTGCATATTCTGATTTTTACAACCGAAAAAGACCATATATTTTGATACTTCATATAAATTTAGAAGCTCAACACAATTCTTTAGACAGAAGGTCTTTCTATAGTAGGATATTGACATTATTATTCGTGAATATCGCACTTCAATTTGAGGTACTCTGTCAAGGAACTTGGAACACTTCTAACAACCTTGACCAGTTGGCCCCTTTTGTTCCTCATGTGTTTTAGAAAAATTTACGTTTTTTCATTTATTGGATAGCTTAAACCTAGTTGTAGTTGGTGGATCAGTTTATTGTGCTTGTTTTATTATATTATATACAGTATGCATATCATATTTAGGCATCACTTTTTCCATTCAAATTAAAGATTGCCCCTCGCGATTCATTGCCATACAAATTTTCATGTCATTATTTTTGTTTTCAAGCATATATTTGGAATGTAGTTTACAATGCTGGTGACATCATGTCTCTAAGAATAACATGCTACTATATTAATTCTTTATCACTGCCAGGAATTGAGTAGAGAGACTTTTTTTGTCTCGATGAGAATTGTGCAGGACCCACATATTTTAATGACTGGATGTTGTTTGCTCATATTTTATTGACAGCCAACTGATTCGTCAGGGTGCAACTCAACAGATGAAAAAATAGGATTAGCGATTGCTGCAGTATAAGATAAAACAAATTTGCACAGATAGACAAAAAATATCTGGTGTCACATTGATGAAAATAAAAATTGCTATCAATTTCCATCAGCCTCTCAAAATTTTCCAATGGGTATCAAGTGTGTTTGTAGCAAACATTTCACAATATGCAATGCGATATGTAACATGTATAGACAACTTACGAGTAATGGTGATTCAGAACCATCATCATAATTATCATTTAAATAATATTAAAAAAATAACAATTGAATAACAACTGAACAATGGTAATACTAGTAACCTCATTTAACAACAACACTGTTACTGTGATGACGTGCAGTGCAGTCTATCTAATCCCCTCTCCCTCCCAATATTCAATATTGTTTATATTTTGAACAATGCGAGATTTTACTTCACTTGAAGTTGTAATTGAGAATACGATTTTCCTTCTCGCTCTCCAAGTAAATATATGAAACGTGTCTAGTTAATACCTTCTTGGTGTCCACGGCACACAGCAATGCAATAAATGGGATTGTTGTGTTCACTAACTGGCAAAACAGGACAGCTGGATTCGAAATAGGAAGTAATATTTGAAGACTCGCGCCAAAAAAAGAACACGTGACAATGTCCAGATAATTTTAGACATATTTTTGCTGAATTTGGTGCACTCAGCTTGTTATTTTTGGAGTATGCATTCGGAATAGTGTATATTAATCGCAGCACTCAAAATCGTCTTTATTTCGAGGCAAAAAATGCCAAAAAAAACACTAAATGTTGATCTCGTGATCTGCAAGAAATCGCGATATTACGAGACTTGGGATTTCCCGTGACGTCACTGTGCGCCATGTTTCTTTTCCTGTCAAAGACATAGTGGTATTTGAGTCATTCGTGTTGGAGTGTTGAGTCGGCGGACGTTTTCACCAAATATGGGATGTTACTGACGAGGATTATATTATGTAACCCGTTCGCTCACTACGTTACGCTGAAGCTTAAACGTTTTTGTGACTCGTCGTATAATTTCTGTGTGTCAAAGTGACGAATATCTCCTTGTATTTGTCTTGCTCGGTGTTATTGCTATCGTCAGCCGTATGTGTATAGTAAATAGAACAGGGAGTGCCAGGGAGGGCAACTGACGTAAGCCTCTAAGCGTAAACTAACCCCTATTTCCGGACTGTGCACCTCGCCGTCGACACTGTCCTAATCTCGCTTCATAAACTGTTCGGCGTTCGAAATGGCCGAACGGAAAAAACACATATCGTCTTTAGAAGAGGACCCAGATGAAATCACTGTACTTGAAAGTGAGGACATCGACTGTGAGTCAGAAACAGAAAATTGTACATCGGATATTCGCGTGGAAAAGAAATCACAGTCTCTACGCAAGAAGCTTGGACTAAAATTGAACCTATCTTCGTCAAGTCCGAAAAAAGAAAAAAGGGATAAGAATCGACACGAGGAGTCTACGAAATACAATAAGAACGGCACAATAAAACCCCAAAAGCGATCGAGATTTTGGATTTTCAGATCGAAATCAAAGGACGACGCTGGCAGTCGTCGTCCTTGTCGTCATACAAATTGTTCTTCTCCGTGCTGTTCGCGGTCACGGTCATTTCGGGAGCGTCTGAGGCGAAGGACATCTAGAGAAAACTCGCTCGACCACGGAGACTACGGCCACCTCACTTGTCCTACTTGTAGGCTGAACCATCAACATCACCACAATCTAGACAACCACACAAGTGGGACTAGTGAGGTTTTCACAGCAAAGAAAAAACGCATGATTCATGCTATTGATTTAGAAAATTTTAACCCAGATGACTACCCTACAACAGACATTGATGAAAAAATGCGACGAGTGAGAGCTAAAGAAATGGAGGAAGGTGTGCCAGTTGACCTTCCCAGCAGGCCCACCCTTGACACTCCTGTACCACCACCCGCGAGAAAATCAACCCCTGATGCTATGAATGCACAGCTTGACCAGTTGGAATGTTCCTTTTCTAATGGATGTGTCATACGAGAAAGTGTACAAAAAGTAGATTGCCAAGAACCAATAGAGAGTGGGAGCGTTATTTCAGATTCCAGTGTACATATGGTTGGACAGTATGGATGTTTGACACCCAATGGATCATATGCCCCACGGACAGTTCACACACAGATAGACTATATACACTGTCTGGTTCCTGACTTACAAACTATTTCAAGCAGTAGTTTCTATTGGGGGCGAATGGACAGATATGAGGCAGAGAGACAGTTAGAAGGCAAACCAGAAGGAACTTTTTTGCTGAGAGATAGTGCCCAAGAAGAATTCCTGTTTTCGGTTAGCTTCCGTCGATATGGTAGATCTCTGCATGCAAGGATTGAACAATGGAATCATAAATTTAGCTTTGATGCCCACGACCCAGGCGTGTTCTCAGCTATCACTGTATGTGGACTTTTAGAGCACTATAAAGACCCTAATTTTTGCATGTTCTTTGAACCAATGTTAACCATTCCACTACCAAGACGAAACCCTCTTATGCTACAGCATTTATGCAGGGCAGTTATATACACATATATGAGATATGATGATATAAAACTGCTCTGTTTACCATCATCATTGCGAGAATATCTGAGGGAATATCATTATAAACAGAAAGTGAGAGTGCGTAGATTTGAGATCGATGGACCTACAGAGAAAGAAATCTACTAGATATTTATATGAATTTATTAGAAAATATGAATACAGTACTTTTCATTCCACATGACCAAACTGGTGTCGTACAAATGATTGCATCAACTCTATATTTAGCATGTATGCCTTTGATACTATTGTTGGTATTTCAATGAGTAAACAGGCTCTGGAATTCAAGCTGCTTGTCAATTAAGGACACAGCAACTACCCTCCTCCCCTTCAGCTTCAAAACAATTTGATACTGTAATGTTACCATGTTGAGTCGTATATTTTGACCCCACCCACATACCATTATACACTTATAAAATGAAAGGCGGTTGTATAGGTGTATGTGCTGGTATTTATTTTTTAATTCTGTGTGGGCGAGGATGTTGTAAAAAAAAAATTCTTGTTTTTGCCTGTTTCCTTTTTTCACCACAAAGATCTTATTCAGCTTTTACGACAAGAATGAAATGCCATGTATTGCTTCACTTAGTGGTTTTATTTAAATTATCTCTTAATTTGAATGCCAAACAATATGATTTATTGTTTCAAAGATTCATTAATTATTTATATTTTTTTTTAATTTAATTTGTTTTCATTGCTGATGATATCAGTTCAATAACTGATGTTTGATAATTTCTAAATTTATTTTAAACTTTGTTCTATATTTTCAATTTTGTTCTCCATTTTTTTTACATTTTATTTAGACAATCACTTTTTCAATGTAGGAATGATATTGACAAAGGTCAATCAATACACATTGTTTGTCACAGCAAGATTATATTAATTAATTTATTTAATTGTTTGAAATACCCTGGTCGCAACTATGAATGAAGTTGGAAATATCAATGGTATTATCACTGTGAGCTTAACTGCAGGAACTCTACACATGTCCGTCCAGCTGTGGCCATCTTGGCTCACTAAATTAGTGAAATTCCATTTTCCTGAAAGACACTCATGTTTTGTTTTTTTCTACTTCTTATAAGTCTGGATATAATTATATCCTATAATTACAAATTAGCTGAGTTTAAGCTGTAATTCAATTTTAACTGGACCTGATAGTATTGCGTTAATGGTTTCCAGATCTTCCAACACATATGCAAGTTAGCTAATCATATTTTCACAGCTCATCCATAGGCCTCCAGTTAAAAATTCAAATCACATTTTGGCTTAACAGTAATAACCAAGGTTTACAAACAATGTCAGCAATTTATTGAACTGGTATTGACACTTCAGTCATATGGTAATGCCTACCACCATGTCTTGAAAGGTCATGTCAGGAGGCAATTGCTTAAGGTTGTGAAAATCTGATGTTTTGGCAGTATCAATGTGCTAATTTAATCAACATTAATTTGTTAATTAAAGTATAATCTTTCATTAGTATTGCCTGAGCTTTCAACATTTGCTGTTTTGAAATTTTCAATAGCCAATGTAAATTATTTTGTTATTCAAAGTGTGCTTTTCTGGGGGGCAAAACAAAACTGTAAATTTTTCACCAACCATGCAAAGCAAGTGAAACTTAAGCCACGGCACCCAGTTCATTTATTATAATTTATTTATTATATTCAGTGAAGACAAATCATGATTGTAATATTTATTGTAATATGCTTATCGCTTTCTTGTTTTTATACTCTGTATCATGGCAATTCACTTTTCCCCTGGAGCTCATAGCTCCGAGTGGTTAATTATCGATATCCAATTATTGCTCTGGGAGTTGGAGTAACTTGCATGAAACTACCAATATCATAAGACTGAAAATGTCTGTCAGGTGATTCCTTGAAAAAGTGTTGTTGCTACTGCCACTATAAAAACTTACCCCTCACTTTGGTGCACTTGTCTTCATCACTAAGACTGTGTAACCTATGCTTATGATACTGGTAGTGTTCCATGTTCAAATTAAATGTCACACCATACATGTTGTCTATAATGATGAAATCATTCTTTTTGTACAATTCCTAAAATAATGCTGCATGTTTTCACAATCATCTGTTTTATTTATAGAGTTTGAATAGAGATCATGTTCAACACAATCTCCTATATAGTTCTAAAAATATATTGTTTAAACATGATTATTAAAGAAATAGTATTTCTAAGATAATTGTTTATAGCATCTTTCTTTTTTAAAACAAACACTGCAATATGCTTTTAGCGATTACAATACATTTATCGTTTTTCTGATGTGATCCATAATCATGAGAGAAAGTATTGTGTGCAGGCTTTTCCCTATGGGTCAATGTGTGCTTTTATATTTCCAAGGTAATGTATTTAAATGTCATGAACACTTGGAAATTGTTATGAACTTCTAAGCAAAACTTGAAGATTGATAAGTTGCCCTTGCTAATCCCCAAACATTTGTGAACCAATTATAATCTTGAAAGTGATTGTGGGTTTGCAATATTTGGTTCGGCTGTGGTTTAGTAATGTTTTTAGGTCGATGGAGATATTTTTTAACACAGAGTAAAAAGTAAATTTAACTTCATTTCAATTAATAGTTGGATTGTGGGTTTCACAATGTTTGGGTTGATTGCGAGTTTGTTAATATTTAGGTGGTTTTTCAATGTTTGGGTGGTCATGGGTTTGGACGGATTGTTTATTAATATTTGGTGGATTGTGGGTTTTGGCAAAGACAATAATCTTTCTAATGTCTTTGGTTTTGGTGGATTGTGAGTTTAGGTGAATTGTGGGTTTGTAATGTTTGGTCCAATCATAGACCTATGGTCCAATCATTGGTTTTACAATGTTGGATTGTGGGTTTGGTCATTTCTGGTAATATTGGTGGTTTTGGGTAGATTGTGGGTTTTGCAAAATGTAGGTAATTTTGGGCTGCCATTGTTTGGGTGGATTATGATTTTGGTAGTGTTTGGGGGGTTGTGGGTTGATTAATATTTGGGAGAATTGTGGATTTTGTTATGTTTGATGGATCATGGCTTTAGGTGGATTATAGGTTGGCAATGTATTGTGTGGATCATGGGTTAAGTAATATTGTATTGGATGTTATTTCAGAACAATTATGTTGTCACAGCTGTTCCATGAGTACACCAGAAAAACGAGCTTTAATGCTGACATTGGAACCATCTGCCACATGGCCTACTACTACATGTAATAAATATTGCATTGTACTGTGGCTCTGTTGAGAGCCCCCCCCCCCCTCCTCTCTTAGAATTACATATAAAGTCAACTGTTGCATCAATAATTTGATAATTGTTACAACTGCAAATCTACCCACAAAACGGTATCACACAAACTAAATTAATTCTGTTAAACTGAATTACCAGACTTTCCACATAAATTCCACAATGAAGCGGTTTTATATTATTCCTTGCATACGGTATCCTGGGTCCGTGTAATTGAAGATGGTTTCACGCTGTGTTCTCCAGTTGCTCATCATATGTTCAAAATGAAAAATGTACAAATTTATTTTGAACTGCACCGATTGCCTCGCTCAGCAGGTGTTTAAAGGAGGCAGAATGGATGGGGAAAAACACTTCAAAATGGAGTAACGGTCGGTTCCATAAAGGCATGAATGTTGTTTTTAATGAAAATTCATTTACCCAGAATACCACCGCGCTTCATTAAAATTCAATCAGATTAGCCGATTTACTGCAGCGCATCCAAAAATATGTTGTTTTCAAGCGTCATTTGAAATTCATGAAATATTTATAAATACGTTATATGAAACAAATTCATGCCCTCATGAAATTACCACTATTCATCTGCTATGAGGCTGTGATTGGTCAAGTTGTTTTCTTTCAACCGTCTTTGGAAATTAGTGTACACAATACACTGAATTTTAGAACAAATCTTGCATTAGTTACAGCAGCAGAATACCACAGAAATATCAGACGAAACATGAAAACACTATATATTGTATTTCGCCGTGAACCCTCTCTATTGCAATTCCAGAAATTACCCCCATATGTGCAACCATTTTCCACCTTGGTATCTACCCCTGAAATCAAACTCTTACATGTAATACCACACTGAAGCGTTTGGTAAACCCATTCATGAAGCGGAATGTACACAATGAATATTATGTTTTATATTTTTCTATCAACACATTCATGAACGGTTACCTGCTTTTAGTAACCATGATTATGAAATTCACCGTATAGTGAACGAAAGAAACCGAGGACAAAATAAATCGTTAGATTTGAAATTTACCAATCCAGAAATAAAATTGTCACATCATCAGTTCTAATTAATATTAATGATTAGTTAAACTGTCTAATCAGTAAGCACTTCATTTTGAACGAGTCAGTGGTCATAGTTGCTCTGTCATGTGCGAGGCATGTGCGCGCATTTTAGTTGTAGACAATGTTGAGCACTTGAGCTAATCACTATCAAATATTTGAATTTGAATGAAAGCTGATGATCGGTATTTACAATATTTTATAAATAAAGATGTCTATTTCACTATACATGAAATCACATGTAATTATAAAACATAATCAAACAGTTTTATAAAAAAAGGTTAAAAATTTGAATTTGCTAGAAAGAACGAGTAATGGCCTTTTAAAATATCAATGTAATAGCGTTGCACTATTCAATGGCTACGTGGAAATTACGCCATAAATCAATGATACGTCACAGCGTCATATCATCTCAATATGAAACCTGAGGCAATTTCCTGTCCCAATTACAACGTACATTGTGATGTAAGACATATTTATAGTTACTCTGTCCTCGAACCCAAACACACACCCACTCCCTACCCACACATAATCACTGACAATGTAAACAATATCAACATTCATTGCATTCGTGTGGCCTTGCTTTTGGTCCGTTGGAGAATACACATTGCATGTAATTTGGGTTACTTTCATTTCATTCAACGATATGAGTCACCGTAGCATTCATCAGTGTGGCCATGTGCAAACAGTAAACACGTACTGGACATTTTTGTCTGGAGTGGACTGGGTTACTGTGATAACGTTTACTGACTGTTTACTACTAGAATAATTTATTAAATACTCTCTTAAATAATCTCCAAACTATGAGCATAATAATTTGTATAGCAATACATTACCTAAAGCACAGTCGTGATAGAGGGACTGTGCCTAAAGTTAATTTACCTACATGTTGCTCTAAACCATGCTCAGACTGAAACCCAGACATTACTACTGTTGTGTCGTACGTCATTCTTACTCACAATTTTTATGTATTGTTGTACACTGTACATGTAAGTAACACATCGTTTCAATTTAATATTTCGAATAATTTATATTTTGTAAATTGAAAATGCTGGATATATTGTTTCCATATATTGTTTGAGTATCAACGGTATTCCATCATAGAACTGTTTTTTCAGTGCATGGAATATTTGTTTGATATTTAAAACGACAATATTAAAACCTCACCATGTCAAATATATACCATAGTATGTAACAATGAAATGTTGCAAAAATAGGTACAGATCGTCTATCATCGTTCCTGGAACTGGAATTGCCAACAACGACAGGAAGTAATAAATAACTGTGTCGATTTTGTTGACTTAAATAAGTCTCATCTTTAATTAATTTGCCACCATGTGATATGACGTAATATCTCCACAATATAATCTTATTTGGAAAATAAATAATAAAATAAAATAATATTCTTCAAATCTACAGAGTTTAGAAAAATAGCAATGCGTCCACAATGTTTTTAATTGACTCATTTAATTGATAATCGAAAAGTTGTGAGTATTTTAGTTATAGTGTGCTTTTATTTAATAAAATATGTCCAATTGTACCATTATAAATGAACTCATTCATGCATACTTCCTGTGTCAGGTATCAGTTGTACTGTTGAGCGGAGTGATCACTCGTACGATTTGGTTTAGCGGAGTGAGACAGGGAGTGATCAGTTGTACTGTTGAGCGGAGTTTTTATGAATGTTTCATTATCATGGTCAACGGCAAGAATATGACGTTTTACATAGCCATTTCTAAAAATGTATATAATTTTACGGTCACTTTTTTCAATCTAATTAAATAATATGATAAGGGTTAGGTCATTTTAGTTATATATCAATCTAAAAACCGAGTCTCCGTTCCGAAAAATAATGAGCCTAATACGCTGCCCTGGAACACCGTAGTTAAAAAAAGACCATGATTGATACTTTAATGATAAACTTTAATTGTATTTCACCTAAGAAGATAAAATGGGCAAAAATGATAACATATGACACATACAGTAATAAAGAAACAAATATAAGTAAAACACAAAAAAATATACACGGTAAATATGAACACATGCTGGCTTTTGTTTTAGAAAAAGACTAAGAAAGTATATCTTTCAGTCATAACTCACTACATAAACTGATTACAGTTACTTGCATTATAATTTATTCAAGAATCGCTCTCGATTCCAAGATCACTGAAACTTTAACCAACTTAAAAAACACAGTTATGGACTTACCATTTAAACCCCAGTAAAACAAGTACATTATCCATATACATTTAGAAATCAAAAATAGATTATTTAGACCACGGACTGAACTCCCCACAAGCCAGTCTGTACTTCGTAGAACATGTTCTATTTCATGTTTTGAGAACAGGAATTATTTTTTGTTAATGTCAGGCAACCAAACAAGCATGAGGCGTTCAACGACAAATCACTCAACAAATGCCAAGAGTCTATAAGTA